GGGGGCCGGGGGCCGGGGGGCGGGGGTGGGGGGCGGGCTCGGCCTCGGCGCGCGCGGATTGGGCGCCTGGGGCTGTGCGGGACGCCGGCGGCAGCTCTCCCTCCAGCGCCCCGACGCTGCCCCTATTCCCGCCCACTCACGGAGAGGGAAACTGAGGCGCGCCGCAGGTAAGGGTGTAGCCTGGAAACGGGGAGCGGCGGAACCCTGGGCCGGGGCAGCAGAGAGGCGGGACCTTGGAGTTGAACCTGCTAGTCTGGGGAGGGAGCAGGTCATTCACTCGTCCCTTCATTCGTTCATTCATTCATTCATTCATCGTTCGTGCTTCCGTTGCCTCCACACTACGGAACACCCACGGGTGCCGGGCTCGCCGGTGGCCACGCGAACAGACACGAACACGACAGACAACGCCCCTGCCCGCACGGAGCTCTCATTCAGGTGCGGGCTGAGGCCGCGGGGCATTTGGCCGCTTGTAGTCACGGAATTTAACCTACGAACCCTGGGATTAGCCCCCACCAGGTGCCACGACCTGTATTAACCGCTCAACACACTTCTTCGACCCGACCTGGGACGGAAGAACCAACCCAGGCTCCAAAGTACTGAAGTACCCCCAGCCCTCTCGTGATAGAGGTGGGATTCGAGGCCGGGCCTTGTCTGCCTGTAAACCCCAAGGTGCCAGTTAGTAATCTCCATTTGTCCACCCAAAAAGGCAGTCCCGCGAGATGACACTCCCTTTGTGGCCAGCTGGGGCCTACAGGAGAGGTGAGAGCCGGTCCTCCAAAGCCTCTGTGGCCCAAGTTTCCAGGGCCCCTCGGTTTGGAAGGCAGGAGGGGGGCAGGGGGAGCCCCTCATCCTGGGAGCTGGAAGGCTTGTCTGCTGTAACAGTCTTTCCCAGCCTCCAGCAAAGCCTCTGGGAGAAGTTGGGAGGACCCAGCTCACCAGGCCTGGTGGCCAAGCCCTCCTTACTACCCCCCGCTCCAGCACAGCTGGCCTCTTTCCAGGTTTGCACGCACCCAGCTGTTTCCCCGCTCTGGGCCTTTGGCAGTGCTCTTTCCTCCTGCTGCAGCATTCTTGCCCTTCACCTTTCAGATCTCCACAGCAGTCCCCTTCATTATTCTCCCTGGTCTGTCTCTCCCCCTCAGGACTGGGTCTGTCCTTCTCGTTGCCAAGTCTGCAGAATCGCACCTGGCACCCAGTAGGTGCCGAATATGGGGATGATGCGTGAATGAATGAATGAATGAATGAATGAACGATCACACTGCAGAATTCTGGGCCTGGCCCCACTACACCCTAGCCCAGGAGATCCAGATGGTGAACTGGGGGGGGGGGGGGGCGGCGGGTGGCTGGAGGGGGTGTAATTAAGCGGGAACAGGGGACAGAGAGGCACAGGGAAGCCCAGCTCGAGGTCAGGTACCCCTGAGGACAGATCAAGCATCTCAGAGCAGCTCCTGGCCCCTGCCCAGAGGAGCCACACCTGGGAGCCCAGAGCAGGAGGAAACAGGTTCTTCCCAAGGAGCCAGTTCTAGCGGGTCTGGACAGCCCCATCCTTAGTTGGCACAGACCTCATTAGTGGTGAGGACATGGCAGGGGTGAGCTCAGAACCCCAGTGCCAGGACTGGCAGATGAGTGAGGAGGCCAGGGACACTCTGGGGAGAAAGATTCTGGGAAAATGCCCCATGACTTAAAAGTTGAGAGACCGCTGGGTTCAAATCCAGCCTTTCCTGCTGGCTAGCTTTGGAAAAGCAGCCTACCCTCTCTGTCCTTCATGTGAAAATGGGGGTGGGAGTTAGGTCACCATCACAAGGTCACTGTGAGCCCATCAAATGCTTGGTTCCGATGCAGAGGAAGCAATCCTACCCATTCACTCTTACAAAAAAATTTTTTAATGTTTGTTTTAGAGAGAGAGACAGAGAGGATGAGCAGAGGATGGCGAGAGAGAGAGAGGGAGACACAGAATCTGAAGCAGCTTCAGGCTTTGAGCTGTTGGCACAGAGCCCGATGTGGGGCACGAACTCACAAACTGAGATCATGACCTGAGCTAAAGTCGGAGGCTCAACCAACTGAGCCACCTGGGCGCCCCGGCTCTTAACATTAGTAACAGGGGCAGACATGTGTAGAGTGAACTTGGGCTTCACCATGTGGAATTGGGGCAAGTCACCGCACCTCTCTGAGCCTCAGCCTCCTCCTCTTCACAGGGGGTCCCATGAAACCCACCCGTGGGAATGCTCAGAGGTGGGGGCCTGGTCGTAGGCGACCTGGGACCAGGCTTCCTCTTGTCCAGAGTGAGTTGTTTCAATAACAAGAACACGAGTAACGGTAGCAACAGACAGCAAGCACCACATATGCATAAGCACATTTTAACTCCATTTGAGGGATGGGGAAACTGAGGCACAGAAATCACCTGGAAGTCGTGATAAAATGCATATTCTGACTCAGTAGGTCTGGGCCTGAAGTTCTGCTTTTCTCACAAGCTCCCAGGGGGTAGTGATGGTTTGTGAACTGTGCTTGGAGCAGTGAGAGGTGAGGCCCTTGGCTAGAGGTCACCCAGTGGGGGG